CAGAGTTTATCAGTTGATAAACTCATTTATCAGAAAAACTCAGTTTATCAGTTGGTAAACTGAGTTTATCATTGATAAACACAGTTTTTCTGATAAACTGAGTTTATCTAGTTTTTACACAATGGGCTTGCCATAGCCGGGCCGGAAGAATTGGGCTCGTGGATCCGCGCCTGCGCACTCTTTCACCGAAAAGCGAAACCACTTATTGTAACGAGAGCGGTCTGTGTTTCTCAACGCCACATTAAAAATTATCAAAATTTAACCTCTCAAAATGCAAAATACCATCCGATTACTTTCTTGAAAATGTATATTATTATTCATCTTTTTCTTTGCACTCTGCTGTACCCATTTCTTCCATTATTGTGAGATCTAATTTAACATGATTATAAATGTTGCCATCTTTATGGAGAAAACAAAAATTTGATATGTCGTTTATATTTATATAAATTGTCTAAATTTGCTGATATTGTGTTTCGTCTTCGCTATCGATTTGACTGATTTATCTTTTACCATAATTTGTCATACATGTTTAAGTTTTAATACCAGGACCAAGATGAGAAGCAGTTAGATTACAAGTCCCGTGCATGCTTTGAAACATTAATTCTGTTTACGAAACAAATAAAATACGGTCCAGAAAGAAAGGAAAAGGTTCATTTTTCATTCGCCGTTATTGATTTACTGCTTCAAGTCGATTTGATGCTATTGTTGAATTTGCACTTTAATATTAAGGTTTTCACCAGGTAGCTTCTAACCCTAGTTGTTGTTGTTGTTTGATAAAAAATTAGGTGAATTTTGGCGAAATAAGTGTGTAATCCGGTGAAAATATTTGCCTATATACGGTGATCCCCAGTCTGTTGTGGCGTGCTCCTGTAATCCAGCTAATAGTGGAAGTTACAAACTGATTCAGCCGAGGACGCAGGTTCGAAACTGAGTCACGTCTATCGGATGGTGACGTTAAAAGTCGGTGCCCAGACGTAAATAATCATATCTGATTGAAAAACGTCTGTAAATAACCCCATTTCACACACACACACACACACACACACACAACACGCACTGTGCTTGCGATGAAAGCTGTCCATTCCACAGTGGCTGGCTTTTTTTTTGGGGGGGGCAGATTTTGTTGTAGTTGTTCATTTGGAATTTCTCTCAACACACAAAATCGAATAGATTAAATTGCACAATTAGGATACAAAATAATGCAAAGTTATATTACACAAGACTTAATACAATTATACTTATAACTTCATCAATACATTATCTGAAAGTAATAGCTTATATTTGATGCATGTATAAAAGCACAGTAGGTCCTACTTCCACAAGGATTTCCCATTACCTTTATTTTAGAATAGATAAAGCTTACTTCTGTTATTGTAAGAAAAACTAGATAAGACAATCATGTAGTCGTTAAAAACAAATCGTAACAAAAATGGCAATTAACCAAAAAAAGGAATGAAATGAGACGAGAGATGTCTGGTTCCCCGCCCCCTTTCAGCTTGTCTCACACACTTCCTTATTCCCAAGAAAGAAACGTTCAATGATAAACACACACACATTTTAAATTGACATAATGTTCAACAACACGCTGGTGGATAAAACTTTCTAAAAGTCAAGCAAATATGAGCTCAGAACACATTGTTTGATTATTTTGTATGCAAACTTTTATCATCGTCAACGTCATCATTCTCGCATCTCCCTGTTTCTGCTTTCTTGTCTGTGTATTAACTACTAACAGCTAAATTTTGTATTGGTCGATAGATTGAGTAGATACCGAAGCGTGTCGTTCTTAACCGACAAGTCGCCGCATTAATGTAAAAGTGAACGAATCAATCAACGTCAAAGAATTGATTTATCACGGCTCTATGATGAGTTATTTCACATTCAAACATACGTACATTCGTATGCATCACAACTGAATATGTAGTAGGTATCTGAAATGTTTTTTTTTCGATTAATTTCCCCTCCATTTCTTTCTCCCTCTTTAATACTCATAAAATATTCCATTTGTCTATAATAATTAATGCTCAAAATTATGTTAGTATTTCTTTATGCGAGAGAGCAAGAGAGAGTAAATTACCAGACAATTCTCGTGTACAACTAAGAACTGAATCCTTTTCATATGATTCAATTCGTTGCCAATATTCAGAATATGAATATGATGAATCCACTAGATACAGCAACGCTGTTAACCGCATCCATCGCTCCAACCACAGCTCATATTGATCAAATATGGAAAGTTACCAAATGAAATCTGAATAAATAATCAAATATACCATGCACTGAGAGGCTTCAGTTAAAATTAAAAATTCTCTGTGACTGGCTTAGCACTAGTCTCCGAAGATCATTAAATTTACAGGTGCCTCGAAAAGAGTGCATGGTACATATGATTTATATCCTTCATCAAGAAGTAAAAAACTAAGAATGTAAGCAAAAAAGAAATACATCAGAAATCAAGTATCAATCCAGAATTTTGTCTAAAACACACATACACACAAAGTGTGCTTGCGAAGAGAGCTGTCCATTCTACTACAGTGGCTGTTTTTTTTTTCGGGGGGGGGGGTTAATTTTGTTATTGTTGTTGATTTGGAATGTAACTTTACTTTTTTTCTTTCAACAAACAAAATCGAATACATTCATTGCACAATTAAGATACAAAATACTGCAAAATCATATTACATAGGGCTTAATACAATCAAACTTATAACCTCATCAACACAATATATACCAAATTAGAACCCAAGTCCTTAAAGAAATTAAAATCAAAGAAAAGGAATAACATGAGACGAGAGACGTTTCGTTCCTGTCTCCCTTCTAGCTCGTCTCATACACCCCTACCCCCCCCCCCCCGCCCAAATACATATAGCCTACACCTTACACATATTAACACGCATACTTTTGTTTTAACTTTCTTTATTTTGTTTTATTCCTCCAAATGTAAGCCACACAAGAACGACATATACAATTGATTTAAATACATAAACTGGTTCAATAATTGCTTATACATAAATATAATTAGACAAAAACTCATTTGAAGTATATATTACTGAGCAACAAAGTAAACTTAAAGTACATAAACATAATTTATAAGTCAATTGTACATGTTATTCACTCTATATAAAAAAAACTTGAAAAAATCTGGAGGTTATTTTACTGGTAGGAACAAAGTCCTGTTGGTTTTATTTTATTTGATTTGATTTGATTTATTGGTTTCTGCATCTTTTTTCTTTTTTTCATCATTCATTTTCATGAACATAATATGGCTTGATACAATATTTCAAGTGTATATAATTTTATACAGATAATAAACGATATTAAACAAATATATTGAATTTAAACATATACAATGAATGCATAATTAACATACATTAGATGCAGGAGGGCTACAGAAATAAGCAAAGTAGCTTGACGTGCCGGCAGCCCTCAACTTAGATACAACAATACAAAATAAAAATAAAAAAGAGTGACTTGCAGAAAAGAAAAGGAAAGGGGAGAGAAGGGGGAGGAGGAGGAGCGTTGGTAATAGGGGGTTTAAGGGGCGTTTAACCCCCCCCCCCCCTCTTGGGCTGCTGCCAAGTGAAAATGTGATGTGTATAGAAAAACGCCATCATGTGTCCAGACTCACACAGTATTAGTAGACGTTAGTATACTAGCTGTTGGTCATAAAGGTGGAATAATTATTTTTACCCCAATTTATGGAAGCATTTTTACAATGGTTAATTCCTAATAGATCTAAATGATAGTATACATTCTCAGATTTTATTGAATATTAATCTGCGATTGTTTGTTTTGCGTGACTGCTAAAGCATATGTGTGCTACTATGCTAATCAACTAGGGGACCTACGTCCTTAAGTCATAACTGACAGTAATGAGGATTAATGCCTCCGAAAAGGGCACTAATATAGCTGATCGACACGGTTTTTATTCTGGGGCCTCACAGTAACAAGGCCATTGCTTAGCCAATTAATCATGACTGTACGCAGCGGGGGTTAGGGTACGTCGCCGCCCCCACAAATACAATAAACAAAGAAAATGCAATAAATTATCAATAATTCATTGCATTTTCCCCCCGGTCCCCAACAGGACAAATTCCTCTGTAGGGCCATGCATTATGGTTCAAGGCTTGCCTCCATACAAAATTTGTTTATGTTGGGGATCGGGGAAAAATGCAATGAATTATTGATAATTTAGTGTATTGTATTTTCTTTGTTTTTTTTTTGTATTGGGTAAAGTATTGATGACTAACCAATCCATCTCGGTTATCCACTGTCCGAAAGCCGATCGAACAGCAGAATCTCGGTATTAAGGCCGATGGGAAAATCGAACACTTAGGCGACACAAGTGGCCATCGATTCAGAGAAATCAATGAATGGTCACTGTTAGCAAAAGGGCAGTGGTGGATCCAGGGGGGGGGGGGGCTCGAACCCCCTTACAAACACGTTAATTTTACCTTTTTTTGGAGATGGACCCCCCCCCCCCGGCGCTCAAGGGGGAGGGGTGGTGCGATTTTTCAAATTTTCGAGGGCAAAAAAAAAAAAATAGTGCTCACTACCTCTTGAGTATTGCTCAGTCATCCAGGAACTTCAACTAATGATATAGATATCACACGAAAACAAAGCCAAATTTAATTTAATTTTTGTTATTTCGCTAGTGAGAATAATATTGATAATAATAAAAGCATGTATGGTTTTGTTTTCGTGTCATACATGCTTGATTTATCATCTTGTAATTTCTGAAGATGTTTGTATTTAACTGAACATGGCATGAGCTCCTACCCTCATTTCTCTCTCTCTCTCTGTCTCTCTGTCTCTCTCTCGTATCCTCTATACAGGCTTCCTACAATCTCTATCTCTCTCTATATATAAATATGCCTGATCCATGTCTCTCTCTCTCTACCTCTCTGATATGCCTGCTCCCTGTCTATCTCTCCCCTCCCTCTCTCTCATTCTCTCTTTCATTCTCTCTCTCTCTCTCTTTCTCTCTCTCCCTTCTATTTTTCATAATTACCCCTCTCACGACATGAACACAAATAAATAACACAAGAAGGAATTATTACGTCATTCCGTTTAATGAGACCGTTTTGTGCATAATGTGTCAGAGAATAAAGCAGCTGATTAGACATTTGAAAATAAATCAGAACATTACGTTTAATTAAGTCATTGATTTATATTAATGTATACACCTTAATGGTTTTCTTTGCACGGTTCCTCTACGTTGAAGCATATGTACAAGATCCAACTCTTCAATGCATTAAATCAAAGAATCAAATTTTCCATTGAATTGGCTAACCTGTTGTCAACGCAAAAACTACCTTTGGTTACATGTAGGCAAATTGTTACTTTACTTTGAACCGAGATTCGAATTGTATATATATATATATATATATACGTATTTCAATTTTTCTTTTTAAGGCAGGGTTATAAATTCGTTAGGGTTAGGGTTAAGGTCAGTGATGACTGATCACTTATGGGGTTTTTTTGCATTTATTTCACAAAAGTCTCAACAAACGGAGAAGTCGTCTGACCACATGGAGAATATCCAGCTAGCCTGCTTCCCGAACTTCTCAGTGCTACTGTTGCTACCGCCCATCTGTTGAAATAAAAGAAAAGGGGCAGTTTTAAAATTGATTATATATATTTATATATTATTTTCTCATGTGTTTTTGCTGTTTCCTTACAATGTGCATGTACCGATTGCATTTCAGAAGCAGTAGTGTTATGTGGTATGGTGTTATTCTGGTAGAGGGATAATGAAGAGGTGTATATGTGCACTCTGTGAGCAGTAGAGGAGAAAAGTTACCTTAGGGTAAAGGTCGTGTTTAAAGAGCTAGTCGAGGTTAATATGGCGGGGTATAATTATGGCGGGCCAAGCATGCCACTATCCGTACAACTATACAACTGTATGACTATACGTCTACCCAGCCGGCTAATCATAACGAAGGAAACTGTACATCTATACAACTATACCAGTGGCGGAAAGGGGGAAAGACGGAGAAGAGAAAAGGGGAAAAAGGAGAATAATGAGAAGGAAAAAAGAAAGAAAGGGGGATGATATTATAAAAAGGTTTTTTTTATCGGGAAAGGGGCGGGGGGCACGCAATTTTACAGTGTGCATAATATTGGGTCCCTCTTACCAGGCGTGCATCCCCCACCCAAACCCCCTCCCCCCCCCCCCCCAAAAAAAAAAAAAAAAAAAAATGGAAAAAGTAAAAGGAGTTAGGATTGTTTTTTTAAAGATAATTAAACAACGATGGAAGAGAGTTGCAAGAGCATGAGGAATCGAAAAAGAAAAAGAGGAAGGAGCGGGAAGAAAGGGGAAAAAAGAAAAGAAAGAAAAGGAGAAAAAGAAGAGAAAAAGGAAACAAAAGAAACGGTTAAACATTACTTTAACTCTTACCCAACAAACATGCATGATCCCTTTCCCCCTTTTATGTGTAAAATTTTACCCAGCTCTTCTAATATTGTAAAGAACATATTGGAAAAATATGGACTGCATAATTCTCCCAATTATAACTAACTTTAGGTGATTAGAAATAACTCCATTAGCTATATACAAAAGGGTAATCCTAAAACAGAGAAAGTACCATGTCGTGTGTACAGTAATTGTTTTATCATCCTATTGATGATGACAACTATGGTTGTACGAGCCTGACTTGTAGGAAATCAACATCCACTCGATACTGTTATTTGTTTAATTTTATGTAAAGTCATTTAGATCAACATTATGCAAACTTAAATGCATTCTTGTGTCATGACTGCATTGAGTACTCCTTTGTAGTCTTTAGAAATAAGACACTCATTAATAATTACCATGCCGCCGAACATGACCATCGTTCATATTACCAATAGTATTATGCGTGCATGTACTGCACATACCCGAGTCTTATATCAGCATTAGCAGTATTGCTATTATTAACTTAATCATTACGTTAAAAATTACATGCATGGATCATGTTGAGAATGGTTACAGTTGTGGTGGTACAGATGACAGCGAAAGGAATATATCTTGCCAAATGTTCAAGTTTGTCTTCCTTGACCTTTCTCATTTTCATGACTATCTAATAGAGATGTCGAAACGAAAATTGAGAGGTGGACTATTATCATTCATAGAAAAGAGCATTCTATTTCTTGAGTTTTGAAGATATTGTTCATGCTTGACTTACCACACGTTAGTACTCTCTTTCCCCGGCAGGTACACGATTGACCATAATATTCACATACTGCAATACAAATATAATAGACAAAAAAATGATTGAAACAATAATAAATCAATGAATCAAATCAAATCAAACAAAACTTGGTTGGTAACTAAATTTATCAGGAGATATCATTGGCGAGGATGAGAAGTGATAACAAGTATCTTTCTAAAAGTGTTAAATCGTAATAAATATGGAAATGTTGTTAATTGGGTAAAAAAAAAAAAACGAAGTTTGAATTGATACATTTTTTGATAAATTTTGGACAAATTACCGCGTACAATTCTTATTTAAGAAACAGATTAAACAATTTACAACATTTATAACAAAAGGCTGATCGTTGAATTCATATCATCATTAGGTCTTATCTGAAACATTCAGGAATTCAACAATTCAATGTCAAAGAAGTGAATAAAATAATTGATATGTTGTAATTCCCAGCAAATATTCCATTGTTTACCTTTGATAAATATTGTTTGTGTTTTGTATATGTTTGTAAATATGTATAACATTTAAATATAGTTAACAACAACAAAATCCTCATGGAAGAGGCATAGAGGATTTTTTTTTGTCATGCTGGCACAAGCCTACGGCTATTGAAATTTATTTTCTAGATTGATTGTTTTGTAATTGTATTCGTTTAGTTGGGTGACAACTTTAAAAATGAATCGCTTACCAACTATTGGTTTGTTCTTTCTTCTTTTGTCGCCGTTCTCCTCGACATCCAAGGCATCGGAATTGTCGATCGCATCTTCCTCAACTAAAACACTTGCTGCCACAGCCAAGACAATCAGAAAGTAGAGAGCAATCATGGTTTTTGACGCCATTTTCAAAGTCTAAGGAAAATAGAATCAACATGGAATACATTTTTATCATTTGATCAAAGCTACGGTGAAATTGCAACACAATTAAGAATATCAGCATTGAATAGTGACGTACTGAAAATTTCCTTTTACCACTCATCAAGAATAAAGAGAAAGCCGAAATGGGACAATATAATGTTATAACGAAAGGAACAAATTGCGCTATTAAATAATGACGGGTTTCGAGACGATTGACTGCCAGAAAATAGTGGAATTGCGGTTTGCTCTGACGAATGCAAGGCGGAAGGCTTCAGAATGTCTACATTCAATCACATTCTTCGACTTCTTTAATGTCCTGTTTAATGCCCTGTTGAAAGACGATGTTCCCGGCCCACTTCTGCATGCACTGCTGTCATTTCATACACTTAACGGCTTTACCCCACCCTCCTTGAGAATACGATGATAAAAAGTCAACGCATAGTTTTATTTTTACAGAATAGAGGTAGGGGAATGTAATGTCTTTAAATTGCTATCATGGCGGGGAAAATAGCAAGAAAATGAATTCAATGGATGATTTGACAGCAGTACTTGACACAACTTCTTGTAACATTACTTATACTAACTTCTCCTTTAAAAGTGTTGGGCACAATGTTAGACATAGGAGGTTAAAAAAGGACGATATAATTATGTTTGTTGGATAAGACTTAAAACCAATGTTTAACCAACTTTAGGTATATTTTACCACACAAACATGCAATAATAATAATGGCTCATACCCAAGCTTGAGTTTGAAAACAATTAGTATTTTGAAAGCAATTAAACATTTAGGAAAGTAGGTGTAAGTCAGTGTGATAAATGAGGATTAATGCCTTACCAAAGGACACTACCACCCTTCAGTATTACTAACCTGGGACCCCCCGATTACGAGATCACTGGGCCATCGCACCCCTCAGAATTGCCAAAGCATAGCTCCTGTTGAATGTGTACTAAAAGCCCGTTTCACAAGAGTCGAAGAAATGTCCGAAGAAATGTAGAACTACGCTCAACAATTGAATATACATTACTTATTCCCAAATCCAGACTCTCAACTACCGAAAAATGTTTTACAACGGATGCTTCGAAAACGCAGAACAATATCCCCCTTTCCATTAGAGTAATAACCTGTCTGGCCACTTTCAAAATATCCATTAAAACGTACTTCTACCTTCAGTTATAAAGTATGATTTACCTACTTATCATTTTTAAGTTTCTCTTCACATACTGTTACCTTGTAAGCGATGAGGTACTTTTTGTTTCAGCGCTACTAAATAATCGATATCATTATCAATACAATTACAAACAGACGCAGTCAGAAAGACGTTTCATGTGCAAGAGGTATAACGTTATAATGGCTGTTGGGCCTACCTGATTTTGATGCAGTGTCCGAGTATGATTCGTTGAAATGATGATATGCTTTCTCGTAGCTTGATGTGACGAATTGTCTCTATCCAGCTTTCTGTTGAAGTACTGTCTAGATAGTTTCTAGTTTTATAGAATATCGAAGCCTGTCATGACCATCTGCTCGTTACCGACAAGTCACCGCATTCATGTAAAATTGAACAAATCAATTAACGTCATAGAATTGATTCAAGAATCATCTACCTGCTTTATTTACTTTCTGGTCTGTGTATTAACCACAGCTAGATTTTGTATCGTTTGATAGATTGAGTAGATACCACAACCTGCCGGTCTTTACCGACAAGTCACCGCATTCATGTAAAATTAAACAAATCAATTAACGTCATAGAATTGATTCAAGAATCATCTATCTTCTTTATTTACTTTCTGGTCTGTGTATTAACTACAGCTAGATTTCGTATCGTTTGATAGATTGAGTAGATACCACAACCTGCCGGTCTTTACCGACAAGTCACCGCATTCATTTAAAATGAACGAATCAAACAACGTCAAATAATTGATTTATCATCGCACTACCGTATAATGAATTTTTCAACATTTTCACATACCTGCATTCGTATCCATCACGAATGAAAATTTAGTAGGTATTTTAAATGTTCGTTTTGAATAATTTCCTCTCCACGTCTTTCCCCTGTTTGATACTGATAAAATGTTTAATTTGTCTTAATCAAGGCAAAAAAATGCGAGAATATTTTAACAGAGACATATCGTGTACAACTATGAATTACATCCTTTTCAAATGATTCAATTCGTTGCCAATATTCAGAATCTAAACATGATGAATCCACTCAATACAGCAACGCTGTTAACCGCATCCATCGCTCCAACCACAGCCCATATTGATCAAATATGGAAAGTTACCAAATGAAATCTGAATAAAAATCAAATATACCATGCACTGAGAGGCTTCAGTTAAAATAGATACAAATTTTGTGACTGGCTAAGCACAAGTCTCCGAAACTCTTTAAATTTACAGGTGCCTCAAAAAGAGTGCATGGTACATATAATTTATATCCTTCATCAAGAAGTAAAGAACAAAGAATGTAAGCTAAAAAGAAATACATCAGCAATCTAGTATCAATTCAGACTTTAGTCAAAAACACACACATCCACACACGCACTGTGCTTGCGAAGAAAGCTGTCCATTCCACGGTGGCTTTTTTTTTGGGGGGGGGGGAGGGGGTCGATTTTGTTGTAGTTGTTAATCGTGAATTTCTCTCAACAAAAAAATAGAATAGATTAATTGCACAATTAAGATACAAAATAGTGCAAAGTTATATTACATTAGACTTAATGCAATTATACTTATTACTTCATCAATATAATATCTGAAATAATAGCTTATATTTGATACATGTATAAAAGAACAGTAGATCCTACTTCCACGATGATTTCTCATTACCCTTATTTAAGAATAGAGAAAGCTTACTTCTGTTATTGTGAGAAAAAATTAGATAAGACAATCATGTAGTCGTTAAAAACAAATCGTAACAGAAATGACAATTAACCCCCCAAAAAGGAATGAAATGAGACGAGAGATTTCTGGTTCCCCGCCCCTTTTCAGCTTGTCTCACACACTTCCCTATTGCACAGAAAGAAACGTTCAATAGATACACAAACACATTTTAAATTGAACATAATGTTCAATAACACGCTGGTGGATAAAACTTTCTAAAAGTCCAGGAAATATGAGCTCCGAACACATTGTTTGATTATTTTGTATGCAAAATGTTATCATCGTCAATGTCGTCATTCTTGCATCTCCCTCTTTTCTGCTTTCTTGTCTGTGTATCAACTACAGCTAATTTTTATATTGCTCGATAGATTGAGTAGATACCGAAGCCTGTCGTTCTTAACTGATTAGTCGCCGCATTAATGTAAAATTGAACGAATCAATCAACGTCAAAGAATTGATTTATCATCGCTCTATAATGAATTATTTCACGTTTTAACATACCTACATTCGTATTCATCACAACTGATTATTAAGTAGGTATCTGAAATGTTTTTTCGATTAATTTCCCCTCCATTTCTCTCTCCCTCTTTAATACTCATAAAATATTCAATTTGTCTTTAATAATCAATGCCCCAAATTATGTTAGTATTTACTTTATGCGAGACAGCAAGAGAGTATAAATTACCAGACAATTCTCGTGTACAACTAAGAATTGAATCCTTTTCATATGATTTAATTGGTTGCCAATATTCAGAATATGAATATGATTAATCCACTAGATACAGCAACGCCGTTAACCGCATCCATCGCTCCAACCACAGCTCATATTGATCAAATATGGAAAGTTACCAAATGAAAACTGAATAAATAATCAAATATACCATGCACTGAGAGGCTTAAGTTAAAATTAAAAATTCTCTGTGACTGGCTTAGCACCAGTCTCCGAAGATCATTACATTTACAGGTGCCTCGAAAAGAGTACATGGTACATATGATTTATATCCTTCATCAAGAAGTAAAAAACTAAGAATGTAAGCTAAAAAGAAATACATCAGAGATCAAGTCTCAGTTGAGACTTTAGTCCAAAAAACACACACATCCACACACGCACACACGCACTATGTTGCGAAGAAAGCTCTCCATTCTACAGTGGCTGAGTTGTTTTTTTTTTTGGGGGGGAGGATTGATTTTGATAAAGTTGTTGATTTGGAATTTCTCTCAACAAACAAAATCGAATAGATTAATTGCACAATTAAGATACAAAATAGTGCAAAGTTATATTTCATACGACATAACGCAATTATATTTATAACTTCATCAAAACAATATCTAAAAGTAAAAAGCTTATATTTGATACATGTATAAAAGCACAGTCGGTCTTACTTCCACGATGATTTCTCATTACCTTTATTTTAGAATAGATAAAGCTTACTTCTGTTATTGTGAGAAAAATTAGATAAGACAATCATGTAGTCGTTAAAAACAAATCGTAACAAAAATGACAATTAACCCCCAAAAAAGGAATGAAATGAGACGAGAGATTTATGGTTCTCCGCCCCCTTCCAGCTTGTCTCACACACTTCCCTATTGCCCAGAAAGAAACGTTCAATAGATACACACACACATTCTAAATTGAACATGATGCTGAACAACACGCTGGTGGATAAAACTTTCTAAAAGTCAAGCAAATATGAGCTCAGAACACATTGTTTGATTATTTTGTATGCAAACTTTTATCATCGTCAATGTCAATATTCTTGCATCTCCCTCTTTTCTGCTTTCTTGTCTTTGTATCAACTACAGCTAAATTTTGTATTGGTCAAAAGATTGAGTAGATACCGAAGCCTGGCGTTCTTAACCGATAAGTCGCCGCATTAATGTAAAATTGAACGAATCAATCAACGTCAAAGAATTGATTTATCATCGCTCTATAATGAATTATTTCACGTTTTAACATACCTACATTCGTATTCATCACAACTGATTATTAAGTAGGTATCTGAAATGTTTTTTCGATTAATTTCCCCTCCATTTCTTTCTCCCTCTTTAATACTCATAAAATATTCAATTTGTCTTTAATAATCAATGCCCAAAATTATGTTAGTATTTACTTTATGCGAGAGAGCAAGAGAGTATAAATTACCAGACAATTCTCGTGTATAACTTAGAATTGAATCCTTTTCATATGATTTAATTGGTTGCCAATATTCAGAATATGAATATGATTAATCCACTAGATACAGCAACGCCGTTAACCGCATCCATCGCTCCAACCACAGCTCATATTGATCAAATATGGAAAGTTACCAAATGAAATCTGAATAAATAATCAAATATACCATCCACTGAGAGGCTTAAGTTAAAATTAAAAATTCTCTGTGACTGGCTTAGCACCAGTCTCCGAAGATCATTAAATTTACAGGTGCCTCGAAAAGAGTACATGGTACATATGATTTATATCCTTCATCAAGAAGTAAAAAACTAAGAATGTAAGCTAAAAAGAAATACATCAGAAATCAAGTCTCAATTGAGACTTTAGTCCAAAAAACACACACATCCACACACGCACACACGCACTATGTTGCGAAGAAAGCTCTCCATTCTACAGTGGCTGATTTTTTTTGGGGGGGGGTTGATTTTGATGAAGTTGTTGATTTGGAATTTCTCTCAACAAACAAAATCGAATAGATTAATTGCACAATTAAGATACAAAATAGTGCAAAGTTATATTTCATACGACATAATGCAATTATACTTATAACTTCATCAAAACAATATCTAAAAGTAAAAAGCTTATATTTGATACATGTATAAAAGCACAGTCGGTCTTACTTCCACGATGATTTCTCATTACCTTTATTTTAGAATAGATAAAGCTTACTTCTGTTATTGTGAGAAAAATTAGATAAGACAATCATGTAGTCGTTAAAAACAAATCGTAACAAAAATAACAATTAACCCCCCAAAAAAGGAATGAAATGAGACGAGAGATTTATGGTTCTCCGCCCCCTTCCAGCTTGTCTCACGCACTTCCATATTGCCCAGAAAGAAACGTTCAATAGATACACAAACACATTTTAAATTGAACATAATGCTGAACAACACGCTGGTGGATAAAACTTTCTAAAAGTCAAGCAAATATGAGCTCAGAACACATTGTTTGATTATTTTGTATGCAAACTTTTATCATCGTTAATGTCCTTATTCTTGCATCTCCCTCTTTTCTGCTTTCTTGTCTTTGTATCAACTACAGCTAAATTTTGTATTGGTCAAAAGATTGAGTAGATACCGAAGCCTGGCGTTCTTAACCGATAAGTCGCCGCATTAATGTAAAATTGAACGAATCAATCAACGTCAAAGAATTGATTTATCATCGCTCTATAATGAATTATTTCACGTTTTAACATACCTACATTCGTATTCATCACAACTGATTATTAAGTAGGTATCTGAAATGTTTTTTCGATTAATTTCCCCTCCATTTCTTTCTCCCTCTTTAATACTCATAAAATATTCAATTTGTCTTTAATAATCAATGCCCAAAATTATGTTAGTATTTACTTTATGCGAGAGAGCAAGAGAGTATAAATTACCAGACAATTCTCGTGTATAACTTAGAATTGAATCCTTTTCATATGATTTAATTGGTTGCCAATATTCAGAATATGAATATGATTAA